ATATTTATAATGACGCTCCCAGCCACCGTTAAAATATGATCAAATACACAGAAAAGAAAATAAGACCACATGCTTTTTGTCATTTCATTGCCTTCAGAAGATCCAGATGTTGCAATATTATGTTGAAAATATGTCTTGTGGAATTTTCCCAGTTTTTTTTAGAGGGGGGAATGTGTTAGGGTAACAGGACTGCGTGAAAACCTGGGGACATGACTAAAATGTGTATTTTATCCAAAATATTATACATTTGTTTTGAAATGAATGTATTTTAAGCACAGATGGGGATATGGAGGTAAAATGATTTCTGAAGGATTTTAAATAGGGGTGTAACGGTTCACAAAATTCACAGTTCGGTTCGATACGACACAGTGGTGTTACGGTTCGGTACGTTTTCGATACAGCAAAAACAAATAAATGCCAGAGAAATTTCCTTAGTTTTAATAAATAAAAAAAAAAAATGTAAAAATTAACATATGATCTTAAAAATATTTTAGACTTTGGAAGGCCTTTTTACTTTTGCCGTTTATCTAAGATGATTTTTGAAACTTTAACATTCGTTTCTTATTTATTTGGTTCCACCGTGTTTGCTGATTTTCAGTATTTTATATTTAAACTTTATTTGTAAGTTATTTGTTATTTTATATTAGGCCTATAGCATGGTGTATTTGTTGTTAATAAATTAAACATTCTATGTTTAATATAGCCTAAGTGAGTTTGTCGTACTGTTTTGTTGTTGTCAATTCAATCAGTTGACACAGAATTGCTGCTATTTCGAAAGTGAAGGAATATGCGCACAGGCATTTACAAGCTATTTATAAGCGAGGAAAAGAGGGAAAACTCGAACAAACTACCTCACCATCACAACCTGGAGTACATTATAATTCACACACTTTAAGCTCTTTTATTTTCCAAATGTAATAGGATTACTCCAACTAATCATTCGGTTTGTAATGCGTACTGAACCGAAAGCCTTGTACCCAACGTTTCAATACGAATACATATACGTATAAAATGTAGCGTTAGACACTGGGGACATGTACAAATGCTAGATTTTCAGTGTTTTAGGTAGTTTTTAATAATCTGTTTAAATTATATATTTTAAAATTGCAGGTAGATTGATGTGCAGGACACTTTGCTTAATAATAAATGTATTTTATAGTTGACTTTTATGCATGTTTGTACCTATAATGTCCTGGGGACAGAAATGGCACCCATTCGGTGGAATAGCCCATATACACTTAATGTTCAAATGTTCGCAAGTGTTCTGTGTTCCTTGGGGTCATTTTGTATCTTTTACATCATGTACAGTGACTAAAATACGTCTTTTACCAGAGTAAAGTGATTTCTACTTGTGATACTTGACTGTTGTGTTTCTATTTTCATTGCCTCACTTTAAACCCATTATTCTCAAAATTCCATTCCTGAAAATCATAGCTATCAGCCAACTTCAGATAGCCATAACTTTTGTTACGTTCAAGCTATGGACAAAATAAAAACAGTTGGAAAGGGCTTGAACCCAGTTTTCATATGGTATCAAAACCTAAAAAAGGTAAAATTTCACCATGTGGTGGGTTTTCCTAGATCGCATCACATATTGTCTATCAATGTAGCACTATGACGTGATTCCACGTGGTCTGGTGATTGTTGGATGTACTGTAAGCCCATGCTATACATTGTATTGATGAAATCTTCTATGCTTTTTTTTGATTCAATAGGTAAATGTTTTTGTACTGTCTTTGTAAACATTTTTTTTTTGCATCCACTCATTTAATATTTCAATATTTGATCCAGGAGTTCTGTATATGCAACTCACTACAATGTTTTTTTGTCCTGTCTATACAAATTTCAACAACAAATCATCAATGACTATATGCTCTCCACCACCTTATACTTCAGTCTATTATCCTCATGTGTCATCACACCTCCTCCACTCCTATTCACCCTATTTTTATAATTTAATTCATAATCATCAATCTCAAAATCCACACCTTTCTCAGTATTGATCCAAGTCTCCAATATTGCTATGATGTGGAAAAGATTCTTAAAAAAAATTCTTTAATACTCTGGATGTTGGTATATAGACTTCTGCTGTTAAAGTGGATAATTGATATATTTTGCTCTAATTAGAAAGTTATATTGAATTGCTCATCTGTATAATAACTGCAGCTGTTATTAATATTGATAATTATTTTCAAGATCAATATTATTTTCAATATCCTGCATTTTATACTCTGTATATGCAAAAGTATCTAGTCATGATATAAATCACTGCTTATTTTCCGGAAATGACAGTTGTAATTTCTATTCTATTTATTTTTCTTGACTACTAGGTATATTGCATTACCTTATTCTTGTTTGACTCATTGAGTACGTTTACATGGACAATACTCCAGTTTTAATACGATTAAGACTAGGGATGTCAACGATTAATCGATGATCGATTAATTGTCGATAAGAGATGCAATCGATTAAAGCTATCGATGGTCGATTAAGTCGTTTAATTTTGGGCTGTGTACGGCTCGTGCGCAAAACACGTGCGAACGGCTGTGAATGACGGTGACGGTATATACATGCATCATCATTCACTCATAATTACAAATTAAGCTTTTAATGTGATTTAAACTTTAAAAGTACATTAAAATAGAAACAACACAAAGTTCTTCAACACGGAAAGCAATAGAAATGTAGTAACTAGGTCATTTCCCCAAATAATTCTTTCATATCGGGCTCTGCTTTCATTTCCCTTAGATGCGAAAACAGTGATAAAAAGCGAATGACAATAAAATAAAACGGCGAAATTAGAGGGTTAGACGGCGAAGATTTAGGAAAAGAAACAATGCCTACATAATGATGTCACTAAACGGTGATGCCACAATTAAGAGAAAGTTTCTGCAGGACCTAACTAGTCTAGGGCACAGGTTTTCAAGCCCTGGGACAAAATGGGATGCTTTAAGGAAAATGTATAGCCTATGTAAGCAATAGGCCTAAATAAAAATAACAATTTGTTTTCATAAAAAAAAAAAAAAAAAGCGAAATATATCTGACTTAATTAAGCTAACAGATTTAAAACAGAAGTGTGGCGCGGCGCTCCATAAACAAGTTTTTTTATGTTTCAGCTTTTCGATCGCGCCGGCGCCTCGCGCGCACACACCCCACATATTCTAGCAATTCAAACTTACATCGCAGTCTGTTCATTATCAAAATGAAATACAGTCAACCAAACATATAAAAGGTTACACTGGTCAGTTTAAATAGACCGTAGTATACCGGTCCACTCTGCTGTTATGCCAAGGTTCATGTGAAGAGGATGATCTTTTCCGTTTATATGCGAATGCGTGTAAAGTACAAGCCTAGTTTACATTATAAATAATAGTTTAACATTCAAATACATTGCGAATATGGAAACATTTGGATTTGTGCCGAATGAGATGTGAGTAATAACCTCCAAATACATCTAGCCAAACACTCGCTCGCTCCGTCTCGTATGCACGCAAGCATGCACTGTCACGATCTAATGTACTGTAAATGCCGGATTTTTAAAAACAAATAGGCCTACTGGAACGCAAAAATTTTAAATCTGACATTTTCTGGAACAGGATCCAGCAGGATCAAATTAAGTACTGGTCATAATACTCACATGATAATGTTTAATGTGAGCAACAGTGTGTTTTGCTGCAGCGCCGATGGAAGCGGTTCACTGACTGCAGCCACACGCGCCACAGTTACGTTTTGGATCATTTTATTTTTTATGCCATAATGTCAGTTGAAAACATTGCAATTGTGTTTTAAAATACAACAACGAGCACCACGAAACCATTTAAAGCGGCGCGTTCAGCGGTCCCCGTAACGGGATAGGAAACAGTCAACAAAGTAAAATGATCTCAAACGAGCTCTCTTCATTTTATCAAATGATCATAATCACATCTATTCATTTTACAATCCTGCTACTAGCATTTTATTCAGACTAAA